CAGAACAACTAGACACAAGGACAGTTTTTTTCCCAAACACCATCACTCTGCTAAACAAATAATTCCCTCAACACTGTCAAACTATTTACTAAGTTTGCACTACTATTAATCTTCTCATCGTTCCCATCACCCATCTCCTTCCACTTATGACTGTGTAACCTTGTTGCTGGTATCCTTAAGATTTATATTGACTGTTTCCCTATGACTATCATTAAGTGTTGTACCTTATGATTCTTGAGGAACGTATCTTGTCTTTTTATGTACACTGAGAGCTTCTGCACCAAGACAAATTCCTTGTGTGTCCAATCACACTTGGCCAATAAAAAAATCTATTCTATTCTATTCTATTCTGTTCTGTTCTGTTCTGTTCTGTTCTATTCTATTCTATTCTATTCTATTCTATTCTATTCTATTCTATTCTATTCCATTCCATTCCATTCCACTCCACTCCACTCCACTCCACTCCACTCCATTCCATTCCATTCTACTCTACTCTATTCTATTCTATTCTATTCTATTCTATTCTATTCTATTCTATTCCATTCCATTCCATTCTACTCTATTCTACTCTATTCTACTCTATTCTATTCTATTCTATTCTATTCTATTCTATTCTATTCTATTCTATTCTATTCTATTCTATTCTATTCTATTCCATTCCACTCCATTCCATTCCATTCCATTCCATTCCATTCCATTCTATTCTATTCTATTCTATTCTATTCTATTCTATTCTATTCTATTCTATTCTATTCTATTCTACTCCATTCCATTCCATTCCATTCCATTCCATTCTAGTATCTACTACCTATTGCAGCATCCCCACGATCATGTAATCAAAATTTAGGTACTTGGCAACTGCTATGTATTTACAATGGTTGCACATCGCTCATCTCAACATGTTCATAGTGCATAAAGAAGTTGTTATGGTATCCACCAATCCACAGAAGAAGAGTGAGAAGCACCTGCAGCTTAAATTTTTAAAAATGATCTGGATTGAGAGAAAGATTTCCTGACCAGCACTGGAGGTTTTTTTTCCTATCCCTTCTAAGATTGACCACCGAGGTACTCAGGATATAAGTATGAAACAAGTTGGGAATTGAGAATATTTGTAGCTCGGAATTGAACTGTGGGGTCTTTGCTGCTCTCTGAGCTTCATTGTTTTCTTGCAGACCTTTCATTACCATACTAGGTAACACGATCAGTGCTGGTGATGTTACCTAGTTTGGTAATAAAACACAACCAAGCTCAGAGACCACCGAGGATTTCAAAGTTAGGAATCTTTTCTCCCGAGTATCAAAACATAAGGGCCATGAACTGACCACGCTGAACGTATGATGGATACAAAGACAAGCTAGATTTTTGTCGACGTTCACATGCAGGGCACGAGATCAACCATCGTAGGGACCACTGTTTAAAGGCACACCATCTCTGATATCATCTCTGATACCATAAGTAACTATCTTGACTAGTAACCATTGAGAGTCATCTTCTCCTCTATCAATCATCCATCTTGGGTTTGTCTAGTCTAGGGAAAAGAAGGACAAGGGGTGACGTGGTAGCAGTCTTCCAATATTTGAGGGGCTGCCACAAAGAAGAGGGGGTCGGCTTATTTTCCAAAGCACCAGAAGGCAAGGCAAGAAAAAAAAATGGATGGAAACTAATCAAGGAGAGAAGCAACTTAGAACTAAGGAGAAAATTCCTAACAGTGAGGACAATTAACCGGTGGAACGGTTTGCCTTCAGAAGTTGTAGGTGCTTCTATACTGGAGGTTTTTAAGAAGAAACTGGACGGTCACTTTTCTGGCATGGGGACAGGGACTCCTGGTTGGGCAAAGGGTTGGATTAGAAGACCTCCGAGGTTCCCCCCTTTCAACTCTGACATTTCTGAAATCTCAGTTGGGCCACTCTTGTGCCTTGCGCTCGCAATTATTTTTTTTTTTTAATTTGATTTATATGCCGCCCTTCTCCGGAGACTCAGGGCGGATTTACAGTGCGTTAAGCAATAGCCTTCATACTTTTGTATATTTTATACAAAGTCAGCTTATTGCCCCCACAAACTGGGTCCTCAATTTACCTACCTTAGAAAGGATGGAAGGCTGAGTCAACCTTGAGCCTGGTGAGATTCGAACTTACAGTAATTGCAGACAGCTGGTGTTAATCACAATGCTATTGGTCTGCTGAGCTACCAGGCCCCTTTTCCATAATTTCCATAATTTGATTTCATTTTTTTTTGTGTGTGTGTGTGTGTGTGTATGAAGAAATTGCCCTTTGGTCTGTTCTTACTCGTCCGCCTTAGTTTGAGGAGGAAAAACAGACAAATTTGGGAGAACTCACTGAGACAGATGATATTCTGAAAAAATAACATTAGAAAGGGGGGGGGGGTATAGATAAACATGGTGATGTCAAGCAGAAGGAACTTTCTGAGTGCAAGAGAACATCTTTGCAGCCAGACAAACACGCCAATGCCGAATGCAAAAAGATCAGTCTTCAAGCTTAAACCACGCAGCGCGGAATTTTAGCCCACGAAGACAAATAACTACGCAGCACAGATTAATGTTATTTAACCTGAATTACCACAATGGATCCAGAGTAGGGTGTTTTCCCCCAACCTTAGAATTAAATAGACATTCTGCAGACACATCTCCTGATTCCTGAATGAACCCATTTTATGGATGTACCCACGGCACTCGTCACTAAACAGTCTAGGTTCGCGGAAGCCACTAAACTCTCATCCTTCTCTGGGTTAAAATTAACCTTGCACCGTCCATAACCTTGGTGGGTTTAGAAGAACGATGCGTGTTATGCTTGAGTGTCGAAATAAGCTTGGCACAGTTTGTGGATGCAGCCTGCAGGTCTTGAGCCCAACCTGACCGACTTGGCCACGTGAACGTTGCCATCGATGCCCAATAAACAAGATACAAAAATAATCCCTGCCTTTTTCCTGGATCAACCACTGAATATCCAGAAAGGAAAATTCCTCTGAATTTAGATCACGCCTTAGAACAGGGGTCTCCAACCTTGGCAACGTTAAGCCTGGCGGACTTCAACTCCCAGAATTCCCTAGCCTAGCTGGCTGGGAAATTCTGGGAGTTGAAGTCCGCCAGGCTTAAAGTTGCCAAGGTTGGAGACCCCTGCCTTAAAACACGCTGCAAAAGGCACGTGCACAAATGAATCTACGAGAGGAGAAAATCTCGAAGGGAAGGGTTTTTTTCTCTCTCTCTCAAATGAGAAATGTTGAGGGATGGCAGATCAACATTTCTATGATTGTCGTTGAGTTCAATTAAGCTATTCCTACTAAAATCACCGTCTTTCTCTTTTACACGGAACTTGCCTCCCTGTGAAAACTTGCAAAACCTTGCGCGCTCTCTGGCTTGACTTTCATAACTGAGAAGCTCTTCTCATAACCAAATTCTTGAAGTCCTCTTGGCTTCCCAACCCACCTCCGTTTTGAAATGCCACCAACTAAACAAGAGATTTGCACAGCAATCAATGTCTTTTTCTTTCTTCTTTTTCTTTCTTTCTTTCTTTCTTTCTTTCTTTCTTTCTTCTTTCTTTCTTTCTTTCTTTCTTTCTTTCTTTCTTTCTTCTTTCTTTCTTAATGCCAGATAAAGATCTCTGGATCTTCTTAGGCCAAATTTTTGTCGTTGTTGTTCTGTTCCATTATTAATTGCGTAAGGCTTTTCCAATCTGTATGTTAGGGATCTGCGCTAAGAAGGCTTAGTGGATTTGAAGAATGAGCTATTCATGTGTAAGTAAAAACTCATAGATACCCTATGCAATTATATCGACGTTACAGGTTTCCTTCTTCACCTCCCGGGCAAACTTTCTGCAACTGTTTCTAGGACTCTACTGTGCTCATTCTACCCATGTCAACAGTGTAGAGTTACTCCAAGTAACTCAGAGGTAACTCCTGAGAGAAAAGAACCGGTTATTCTCAGTTCCAGAGCAGCCAGAGAAGGAGGCTGGCTGGCATCTAATCAGTTACGAGGCATGTGCCAATAAGGAATTGAATATAATACTTCCAATTGGCATAGAACAGTTACTCCCTTCGCCAGACAGTGCCAGAGTTAGAGGGGACCCTTTCTGAGAGGTTTACTCATAACATACACACATCTTGCAAAGCCAGCCTTTTCTTTTGCATGCCTTTATTTTTCACTTGCCCCATTCGACTGCTATCCACCCAACTCTCACTTGGTGACCCTACAAAATACCTACTCTAAGCTAGGACCTCAACTCAGCTTGGAAGTACGCTTCAAAGCCTCCCCTTCTATCTTCCTTTTTCCTTCCTTTTTTTTTTGCACCCCGGAGTAGAAAACCCAGTTTGCGAATCTTGTTAATCGGCTGGGGTTCCCCGCCCCAACCTCCCACCCCCCGGCCCTTCCTTTCGCCTTTTTCTGATTTCTGGGATGGCAATTGATATTGGGGAGACGTGGGGGGTGGGGTGGGGGGGGTGGGGAGAGAGACTGAAGGTCTGCTAAGGAGAACGGTTCCTTGGCAACGGCGAGTCTGCCCTAGCATGCTAATTGCGCCGGGCTTCGGCCGTAGCTGGCGACGCGGGGTGAGGCGGGAGGGCGGAGAGGGAGAAAGCGAACGAAGGAGAAAACAACCTAACGAACTGCTGGAGAGCTGTGGGGCCATGCAGTCCTGCGAAAGCCGACCGTGCAATTGTGACCGTCCAAGAGCTGCGATACCCCACGCCAGGAGGATCCAGGCAGGAAGCAGGCAACCTAACTGGGCTCGGCTGAGCGCATCCCGCCCACACACACACACACACACGCACAGAGAGAGAGAGAGAGAGAGATCCCCCTCAGGGATCGTTCAGGTTCCTTGCTACCACCTCCTCTCTCCCCCCCCCCAATCCCCATTCTCCACAGGGAGCACCCAGCATTTTCCCCAGTCCATAAGGATGCCTGGTCCCGGTCCACGGGAAAACGCAGCCGCCTTCCTCTCCATCTCACCCCCCCCCACACTTTCCACAAACAATGAAGACAGACTTACCGATGGGGGTTTTGGAGCCAATACAGCCCATAATCGACGGGGGCAATTTAGGATGGAGGTAAACCGTTGCTCCAGACCGCAAACATTGCCACAATACCTCATGGGCCAGCAACTGGTAGGTAAACCGGGAGCCGGTGGATGACAGCGATGATTCCCTTTTTTCCTGGGGGAGGTGGGGGGGAGGAGGTTTGAGCTGCTGATTTGCCGCGAATGCCAGAGAGGTAGGTTGAGAAAACGCGGGGGCGCGCGCGGAGGCGCGCGCACTTTCACAAACACTCGCGCACACACACACACACACAGCCTCCAGGAAGCGCTCTGGCTCGCTTGTCTCCTCCCCGCTTCGGTTTCTGCCCCCCTCGACAAGCTGGCGTCTCGGGGACTTTGGGGCTGAGCCGCCTGCACGTTCGCCCACGTCACTGCTGCTAGCGCGACGTGGGGTGGGGGGAGAGGGGTGGGTGAGAGAGAGAGAGAGAGAAAGAGAGAGAGGGGAGAGAGGGGGGTGAGAGAGAGAGAGAGAGAGAGAGAGAGACAGAGACAGAGACAGAGAGACAGTAGAGTGCAGAGAGAGAGAGACAGAGCGGACAGAGAGAGAGAGAGAGAGAGAGACGAGAGAGACAGAGAGAGAGAGAGAGAGAGAGAGAGAGAGAGAGAGACAGAGACAGAGACAGAGAGAGAGAGAGACAGAGAGAGAGAGGAGAGAAGAGAGAGAGAGAGAGAGAAGAGAGAGAGAGAGAGAGAGAGAGAGAGAGAGAGAGAGAGAGGCGGGTGGGTTGACGGCTGAAACGGCGCTCTCGCTTTCAGCACTTTGGACAGCGGCGAGCGCACATGCCGGTTGCTTTCAGCACCTTGGACAGCGCCGCCGGCCCTGCAAACGGGCTGTGGGAATGGAAGGGTTCCTGAGCCAATCTGTTTTGCGTCCGCGATGGATCTCAGCAGTTGGGTCAAGCTTTAACTAAGCCTCAGTTTTGGGTACCACGGCTCCTGAAAGTGGGCTTTGAAAGGGCTTTGATCCTCCCTCCTTCCCCCAATGCGTATCTTCGGCTCTGCCACTCCCAGATTCATTCTTCGGCTTAATGAAACTGAGTGAATGGCTCTAGAAGAGAAGGTACTAAGTCCCCCCCCAAGAAGACACTAGAGATGTGCAACAGGCATCTCATACCTTTCCCTCGAATGGATTTCTTTCTTTTTCTGACACTCTTTCTCTGAAACCCATGGCTGGCTTTTGAGGGGTTTTTCCCCCCGACGCGTCTAGAACTCCCAGGACCTATTTATTACTGAAATTTGTAACCATGCATTCTGTCATGCCTCCTAAAGCAAGAAATACTGCATGGAGTGTGTAGGATGTACCACGCATTCTTCTTGCGGTGGCTTTTTTTTAAAACTTATTTATACCAGCTAGTAACTGGGCTGGAAAGCCATCACCGTTCTCGTCTCCTTGCTCCCGCATCTTATGCAATACTTGAATCAATTTATCAGAATCTGCTGGTCCAGAGACAGTGGCACACCACTCCTTTCTAATAATATTACTGAGAAAGACAAGACATATACCGAGGGCCTGAAGATCAAATCCAATGAGTAAAAGCTGGAAGAGCTTCTGTCGCCTGGAGGAGAAATTACTAGGCGATGATATGACTGCCATCTTCAAGTGCCACTTTTAGAACTGTGCAATGTTTTCTATAATTCTACAAAGGTTAGCAGCCAGACTAATTGGTTCAAAATATATGTTCACATAGCATGGTTGCTAATGACTAACTGAATTATGGTGTGTTTAGTTCAGTTTCCTAGGTTTGCATAAGAACAGAATTATAAACCAATCCCCAGATAGGTTTGTGTTAGGTTTCGATGTCATCTCAAATAAATTGCACTCCCAAACAATTAATCTTTGCTGAAATATTCCATTTATTGAGTACGACAGATCTGGCCCCGACTTCGTCGTAGCCGATACTAACCCTCCGACCCCCAAACCCTTCCCTTTCCGTTCCCCAATTCTCATCTTCTCATTGGCCATCTTCCAAGTCAGTCTCCCCAGCTTCTGACCTCACCCCACAGGAATGTTCCCCCCTCCCATCCCATTTCCTAGGGGATATTATCTACAGAGAAAATAAGTAGGTGAAAAGTCAAGCCTCGTCTTTTTATGGCAGCATCAGAATGCTGACAGTTTGCTTCACACAGCCAACTAAGATGTGGTTTAGGACAGGGGTTACCAACCATTTGGACCTCAGGGACCACTACATTCATAATTTTAAATCCCATGGACCATTAATATGATCTGCCTAATGACCGGCTGGGTGGGCGTGGCCAGGTGGTCATATGACTGGGTGGGTGTGGTCAATTCGCCGACTTCTACTCTCCCCTCCCAGCCACTCCTCACCTGCCTGCCTGGGCTCCTTAGGGCCCCAACAGGAACTCCACCTCTCCACCACCAGCGGCACTTTCCTCCAGCCTTGGCCCAAAGCCCCGCACCAGGAGGCTGAAGCAGACCCCAAGTTAGAATTTCTGCCCCCTTCCGCCCCACACAAAAAGGCCCTGAAGGGGGAGACTCTCTGCAGCAACACAAACATTCATTGCACATATCTGTCCCAGGGGCTGTAGTTTGAGGACCCCTGATTTAGTGCAATATAAAAAAATGCAAATAATTTTTCTGCGGACCACCAAAATTTTCTCACGGACCACCAGTGGTCCATGGACCACTAGTTGGTGACCACTGGTTTAGGATACTGTGCATTCTCAAAGTTTAATCTTTTCCCTCTTTTTAATTATGCAAATTTTAATTGGTTTTTAAATGATTGGGGTGTTTTAATTTGTCTGGGCCAAATTGTTTAATTCAATTTTACTTTGTTTTTAAATTTTGTATCTATGTATTTTTATTGTTTGGCTGTTCACCACCCTGAGTCCTTCGGGAGTAGGGTGGTATATAAATCAAATAAATAAAAATAAATAAAATAAAATAAATAAACAAAGACATTGTCTAAAAGTTAGGGAGGTGTCAAGATCGACTCGAACTTTCACCTACTGTATATTCCCCTTTGCTCGCAACTTGACAAAGAATAGAGTGAGGTGAGGTGGATAGGAATGCAAGGGTGGGGAGAATGGCATCCAAGCATTTTTGGTTCCCATGAAACATTGCTCCCCCCTCAAGGATACCCTGAGCAGATGTCCCAACATGGCCGGCTGGTTCCCATAACAAAATGAAGAGAAGTGGTTGGTGGACGTAATGGACTGTGGGTAGCCCTTGGCGAAAAGGGGAAATGAACTATGTATGCTTTTGCGCAGGAAACCCAGAGCTGGTTTCACTTCTTCTGTGCCAATGTGGATTTATTCTGTAAAGTTTGTACTCTTGGTAAAATAATGTCCCAGGGGTGTCTTTTTCCGTATTCGCCAACTGGACAGTTGACATTAACATTAAAAGAGAATATTTATAGCTCAGGGTTGAAATGAGGGGTCGTTGGTGCTCTCTGAGCTTGGTTCTTTTCTTGCAGCTGTTTCATTACCCAAATTAGGTAAACATCATCAGATAACACAAGAGCCTTGGTGGCGCAGCAGACTAAAGTGCTGTTAATTAGCACCAGCTGCCTGCAATTACTGCAAGTTCGAATCTCACCAGGCTCAAGGTTGACTCAGCCTTCCGAGGTAGGTAAAATGAGGACCCGGATTGTGGGGGCGATAAGCTGACTTTGTATAAAAAAGAACACCGCTTAGGGGGGGCCGAAAGCCCTACTAAGCAGGTATATACAAAAGTATGAAGGCTGTTGTTTAACGCAATGTAAGCCACCCTGAGTCTCCGGAGAAGGGCAGCATATAAATTGAACTGATAAATAAATAAATAAATAAATAATTTGGGTAATGAAATGTCTGCAAGAAAACAGCCAAGCTCAGAGAGCACTAAGGATCCCTCAAAAGTTATCTAGAACAGCATTACGGTACAAAGCCCTACAGTCTGAGAAACTAGTAAGTGCACCTTTAGTAGAGGTTTTTAAGCAATAATATAACAGTAACAGAGTTGGAAGGGACCTTGGAGGTCATCTAATCCAACCCCCTGCCCCCGCGAGATGTACTAGGGATTCGAACCGCCGACCTTTCTAATTGACAAGCTCAGTGTCTTAGCCACTGAGCCAACTAGTCAGCAGAAGCTGGGTGACCACTTTTTAGGAATGGGGGTGTGGGTTTTTTTCCCACTACATGAGTCATGGTCTCTCATAGACCAGAGGTCTCAAACCTTGGCAACTTTAAGATTTGTGGACTTCAATTTCCAGAATTCCTCAGCCATGTTAGATTCTGTGACCTTTGTGTTCCTGTTAAATTCCTGGGTCCTCTGGGAAGGAGCTCTGGAATTGAGATCTCAGATTCCAAAGAATCTCAGCAACTTCTATATTGAAAATGAGGACAGGCAAGAAATCACCAATTCTTTATGGTGCATCTCACCTTGATTTCTTTTCTGTGGCACAAAGCTTTACGCATGGGATTGGCACAAGGCGGAGGAAGCGTTGCGCCCATTGTATTGCTGACTAATCTAGAACCCCAGGATTGCCAGAAGAAGGGCATTGGTAAAGGGTGTTTCCACCGTCATAACTTACATTTCTAATTGCTTGGCAAAGAAGGCAACGAAGAGGAGGCTATTTAGACCATGCCGGCTCTTAAAATAGAGGGTAAAGATAGTTTCAAACCTGTTCAGTAGGAGGAGAAAGGGTTTCCAAAGCAACTGACTGCGAAACAGCTTTAACGTTTTCCAAAAGTTTGGGAAAGACGACACTTTGAATCCGGGGCCTGCTGCTAGCCAGTGTTTATACACAACCGGGTTGCTGATCTGGTGACAACCAGGTCAAAGCTTGCTGAGTTCCCCCTGTCTTCTTTCCTAGTCATCTTTTCTACTACTGTCTCCTATTGGGATCTTATGTTTATATTACCTTGTTGTTTGTAGTCCACTGAAAGCTTCTGCACCAGAGGAAAATTCCTTGTGTGTACACTTGGCCCATATTCTATTCTATTCTGTTCTGTTCTGTTCTGTTCTGTTCTGTTCCGTTCCGTTCCGTTCCGTTCCGTTCCCTATGCTATGCTATGCTATGCTATGCTATGCTATGCTATGCTATGCTATGCTATGCTATGTTATGCTATGCCATGCCATGCCACGCCATGCCACGCCATGCCATTTATTCTATTCTATTCTATTCTATTCTATTCTATTCTATTCTATTCCATTCCATTCCATTCCATTCCATTCCATTCCATTCCATTCCATTCCATTTATTCTCTTCTCTTCTCTTCTCTTCTCTTCTCTTCTCTTCTCTTCTCTTCTCTTCTCTTCTCTTCCCTTCCCTTCTCTTCTCTTCTCTTCCCTTCCCTTCTCTTCCCTTCCATTCCATTTATTCTCTTCT